GAATATCAGCAAGTAAGACCATATGTCAGATCATAAAACATGTCTCAACAAATTCAGAAGACAAGCGGTCACACTATGTATGTACTCTGAGCACAATGGAATTAAATTAGAAATCARTCCCCAAACTCTGATTCCCAAATACTTGGAAATGGAATACATTTTCTAAATAATCCTTCCTACGAAGACCAAACTGGAAAAGAAAATTCAAATGACCATCCACAAATGAACAGACAGGGGAAACTGTGGCCTGTACACCTAGACAATGAATACTACTTGTCACATGCTGCACAATGATATTTGGGTTGATGACAGACAGATCATGTACATAATGGTGACCCCATAAGATGAGAACACGTAGTGATATAGCCATGTCAGGTTGTAGAAGCACACTCTTTAATGAACAACAATGAAACCCTCTAGCAATGCATTTCTCCAGTGTGAATCCACCCCTAAGCAAATGCGTGACTGTATCCATTAATCAAAAGGATGAACTACTGATACCTGCAAACATGGATGAATCCGGAAAAGATTATGCTGAGTGAAAGCCAGATTTCCCTCCAGGTTAAAAAAAAAAGAGTATGTCCTGTAAGATTCCATATATGTGAAACTGTAGGCAAACTACTCCATGGTAATATAAAGCAGATGAGTGTTGGCCAGGGGATGACAATCGAGGAATTAAAAAGGACACTGGGAAGTATTGGGAGTGAGGTGTATTGTCCATGATCTGAATTTTGGTGATCACTTCATGGGTACACACGTAGGTTAGAACTTATTAAACTGTATACTTTAAATCACAGGCACTTTATTGTATGACTATATACCTCAATTACTTTTTWAAAAAAATTTTACTAGAAATACTTATTTCCTTGATTACAACCCTCATTAATACACAACGAGTTAAATGTGGGGTACTCTATAATCCTAGGACTGAGTTCCCCAYCCTTGGAGAGTTTGGGGAGTGATTAAAAAACAGGTAAAATCCTGGGAAATTGTAAACTCTTTAAGGAGTAAGCAGAATGCACACTCTTGAAAGCAAATTAATCTTACAAACTACCTGGGCTTTCCAAGTACTTTGGGTGTCTCTGCAAGAACTTGGTGTGGTGATTATCACACATATACCTGTACATCGAATCATCAAGTTGAACCCCTAGATGTGTACTATCAGAAAAAAAAAAGATGTTTAAAGAAGGAGATCATTCTTCTGGCAAARAAGGAACATCGTGAGGTTGCGGCTTCCTCCAGTTCATCACAGTTCGACTTTCTGATGGTCTTCATCTATCTGAATAAAGCGTAGGCCTGGTGACCTCCCTTTTTTCCCCCMAAAAACCCATGTAATTTACCACACTAAAGGGATAAAAGAGGAGAATCCGCCCCATCATCTCAACACTAATTTACAATAAGAACTTCCAGTGTCGTCTGGAGGAAGGCAACTTTGACCAAAAAAGAGCACCCGAGAAAACCACTTCAGCCAACAAGACCCCTGGACGGAAGTGCTGATGCTCACGGTGAGGAGAAACGGATGCCCATGACCCGGGAGCCAGGGGCCACATCGGCTGGTTTCCCCTGTTCGACACAGTGCCGAGGGGCCCTAACCGAGCAAGGTTGGAAAGAAATAAGTGAACGAAGAGGTTGCAGACYGGAAAGAGAGAAGCACCACTGACTTTTTTTTAGCTTGGTGACCTCATCAAGTGCAAAGAAGAGGCTAAGAAATCTACAAGCACCTGTTAAATAAGCAATTTCAGCCAAGGTGCAAGATGCCAATTCAATATACAAAAAATTAACTGTTTATAGGTAATAGCAACAAAAATTAGAAAATTAAATTTGAAAATCAGAGTAGCATCAAAAACAAACAAACAACCCCCCCCCCAACACACAAACATGAAATACTTAGTGATACCTTAATGAGACCCATGGAAGACATCTACCTGATGCATTGCAAAAGGACAGAAATCTTTGTGCACAGACGGGGTAGGAACACCCAAGTACCTCTCTGCATGGCTGGAAACAAATCTTGACTGACACAGCTCACATCATTCACAAACGATAACTCCAAGTGGCTCACAGACCCACATGYTTAAGTTAGAACTGTCTAACGGAGGATGTGTCCACCACCTTGAGGTGGGCAAGGYTACCCCTGAGTTAGGTCCCAGAAAGCGCTAACCGTAGAAAAATGATCAATAGCCCTTGATCAAAATGACCAACACCTGTGCACCAGGAGGCACTGCGCGAAAACCAATAGGCCCGGCAGACACTGGGGGAACTCASCCTCGCCTCCTGTGTCTGACAAAGGACCTGGCCCGCAGGAATGTGCAGAGAGCTCCTACAGTTAACAGAAAGACAGTGGACTCACCCCCAAAATGGGCAAACGGCTTAAACAGACAACTTCCAAAGGAAAATGTACAAACGGACAATAAGCAAAATGCAAAGAGGTTCACACAGTTAGTCACCAGGGAAGGGCAAACCCCTCGCTAGAAACCGAGAGCCCCGGGCCACCTAACACCAGCAAGAATGCGTAGCCAGTGGGACTCCCAGATGTGGCTGGCAGGTGTGTGAGGGGCTGCGGCCATGCTGGAAAATGGGTCATGGGTTCTTATAAAGTTCTACATACCCATGACCCACTGAGTCCACTCCTTAGCACTTCTCCAAGAGAAATGAACACGTGGTCTCAGAAAGTTCCACACGACCATTTTCATTGTAGCTTTACTTCTAAGAGCCTAAAATTAGGAACAACCCAGGTGAAYAGGAATTTCTGTACAATGGAATACCAACCCTCTGTGAAAATGGATAAACTGATACATWCGATAACATGTGCGGGTCTTTAAAACATTTTACTGAGCAAAAGCAGCAGACACAAAAAAATACACATGACTCCACTCATAAGAATGCCCAYGGCCAGCCTAGTTCCTTCTGCACCCTCTCTGTGACCAGGAGCTCAAGCCTTGGCCTGATCCCACCTGATGACATTGTTGCTTCTTGCCCCGACCTCCACAGACCCTATCAGCATGCCAATCTCCATGTCCATGGTCCGTCAGAACGACTATCTCTTGTTTATCCTTGGAGAACCAATCCTGCTGAATTGAGCCTACACCTCTCATGCTGTATTTGAAACACAGATGTAGCTAGAGTCCCCACACTCCAGCAAGGAACAGAGGTTCACTTGATAGACACAGAAAAATAAATAAATAGGATCTACGACAGAAAGAAAAAGAAATAAGAAACAGGAAAAAGGAGAYGGCCCTTTAGAAGTGAAGCATGAGGACGTTCGGGAAGAAGCGAAGGGTGTAAGCTCTGCGTCCCCTTCTTACTGCATGTCCACCATGCAGCGTGGGACCCCTGAGTGATCGAGCGTGGGCCTGGAGTCCAGGCAGGTTCAAAGCCAAGCTCCTTGACCTCACTCAACTTGATATGTGGAAAACAGAAGCAGCGCTGAAGATATCCCCCCAGGGTGAGAGCGAGTGCAGGTCGCCTCGTACCTACCCTCATGCCAGTGCATTCTGGGCACACCCTCTGACACCAGGAAGTCACCGCTTCACTGGACAGCCCAGGGAACAGCTGCCCACAAACAGCCCTGACATCTGCGCACCAGCACCAGGGGTCACTCAAATGGCTGGGTTGGTGCCCACCCAGTAGGAACTCTATGCTCTCCCCCTACACATGACCTGGCTMTGCGGTGGGCACCGGGGCCACAGCAGGTGTCTGCCAGAGGTGCTGGAAATCTCCACCCTGGGCTGCAAGGCCCTGAGAATTCYCACAGATGGGAAACTTGGGAAGGGAACAGCCATCAACATCATGCAGCGGTCAAGGGTCAGGCCAGGTCAGGAATCCTGGCCAGTGCCGGACATCAGGACTGAAGCTCTTGCCCCCAGGGACAAGCTTCACCTCCACCTCTCTGCCAGCAGGGGACAGCTGCCGGGAGGCTGCCTACAACGCCCTCCGCACCCACCCAGCACCTTCCAGAGGCCCCTGCTGTGCTGCTGTTCACAGGGCCCAAAGGGTCTGGGGTCTCCCAGACTGTGAGGGGCTTGAACCCCAGGGACCCTTGTGAGCGCTTCCCGTAGCCTCCTGACCCGAGTCTCCCATCCATCCAGTGGGCTGGGATCCCCAAGGCTCTGCCATGGATTCCCAACACCGGGCCCCGCTGCCCTGAGATGTCCAGAGCTGCCCCAGAGGCCCTGCCCGTCAGAGCTTAGGTTTCTCCTCCTCTGCAGGAGGGACGAGGACCGAGGGCTCCCTACCTCACAGATTGGGGTGGAGGACTGAGGGCCTCCCACCGCACAGACTTGGAACGGAGCCCCTCCCTCCGACATGTGGAAGGGGTGTTGGGAAATCTGCAAGTGGGCCGACAGGCATCATCGGGAGAACGGAAGGAGAATGGACGCCTGTGTCCCTGCGGGGAGGGGACTTGGGGCCTGTCTTTGCCAGGCAGGGAGTGAGGGACTGTGCGTCAGAGACAAGAGGGGAGCTGCCACCTCCCCAGTAAGCCTCCACATCCAGGGCCCCCAATTTCCTGCTCAGCGATTCCTCCCCCTCGCTGGTCCTGCTCAAGGCAGAGAGGTGGCTATCTGTCCTGGTCAGCCACACCCCTATTTGGGCCAGTCTCTGCATCCGCTCAGACATTGAGGCATCACGGAATGCTGGCTCTGGGCTAGGAACCAGGAACCTCATGATCTGGATGCATTCAAGGAGGTGGGGACAAGGCCATTGCAGGACTTGGACAAATGACACCCACCTTCCTAACTACAAGTCTACATGGGCCCTAGACCTCTGAGACCATCATGGGAGGGGTCCGACCCTGCCGGATTAAGATGGGGCCTGCCGAGCTACAAGCTACGCTAGCCCCTGTGGTCGGGTGGCCCCGGAACAGATCTAGCCACATCCAGCGACCACAGCTGACTCCCAGGCTCTCTCCCTTCCCTGGCAGAGCTTGAGCCTGGCCAAGGGCTGGCCCTGCTGCCCCACCCTGCCCTCCCCACCCCCACCCCACGGGAGAAGGTACTCACTGATGGGGGCGTGTAAGGCCACGTGCTCCTGGTAGGGTGTGTAGTATTTGTACTGCTTCCCGCAGAATTCGCAGGTGTAATTCCCAGTTTCTGTCCAAGGAGGAGAGGACATGTGAGAACRGGCACCCGGCCCCACCCAGAAACATCAGCATCCCCACCCAACTCCTCCTCCTTCTGGGACCACCAGCTGGAATCCACTCTGACTCTGGAGTCAGAAGGCCTGGGTTCAAATCCCAGCTCAGCCATTTTGAGCTGTGTACCCTCAGATAAGTCTCCAAACCCCTCTCTGTGCCTCACTTTTCCTAACTGCAAAATGGAGTTAATGGTAGGACCACCTTATAGGATTGCTGTGAGGATTAAATGTGTCTGTCAAGTGCTTAGAACAGTACCTGGCACATGCTGTCCTCCTCCATCGCTCCACCCAAGCCCACCCCGGCCGGCCGTGACCCCAGCTGGTCTCCAATGTCACTCTCTCCACCAGTCCTCTGTAAGCCCTGCCCTCTGCAGGGGCCACACCCAGGGTCCCGCCTCTGGGGGACCTTCCCTGTCCCCAGGCACCCCCCTCCCACGGGCAGCAAGGTCAGTTCTTCCTCTCAGGCCCCACTAGACTTTATCTTTACCTCTCTTTTGGCTTTGCCTAACTTCTTTCTTCTTAAAAATGTCTGATGTAATATTGTTCACTGGGGGAAAATTATAAAATACTGATAAATACAAGTACAAATTTTTAAAAATAAAGAGAAATTTCAATCACCTGTAATCCCCAAACAGAGAGCCTCTACCCCCTGGAAGCAGAGAGGAACCTGTCCTCTGGCCCCGACCCCACCCTGCACTCTGCTCCTCTGGGGCATGCTTCTCTCTTGATATCATTTGTCTGGCTCCTGTGGCCTTGAATTAGCCGGCCCTGATCAATATCCTCTTTGTAACCTAGTGTATTCAATCGACAATCCTTTGTGGACATCTTGCCCAGTCAATAAGTATCGATCTCTGCAGCCGTTATTGGCTGCACGGCTCCCACGGGACTTTGGAATTCGCTGAGCTAGTCCCCTCCACCAAGGGACATTTAAAGCGTTTAAAAAAAATTTTCTCCTTATTTAAAAACAAAAAAAAACCCCAAAACCAAAAATGCTGTGACCACATCCTTACAGAAAGTTTTGTACATTTGCTTGTTAGTTTTGCAAGTGATTGCAAAATACAGGTCACGACACAGAATCTCCCTATGTTATTTCCTCAGGGTGTATTACAAGAGTTGGGGAAAGGGTTTGCATTTTTAAGGCTCTGGGTAAGCACAGCACCCCCACACCACCCAGAAGGCACGAGAAGGACTGTTTCTGTACTCTGCAGCTGGCGCTGGATATGGTCCTCTGCCTGCATCTGGCAGATCTAGCAGGGAGAACTCTACTGCACGACTGGCTTATTTTCCATTTCTTTGATTTCTAACAAGATTGATTATTTTCATGTTTAATTAACTACAGTTTTTCTTTTGTGACTTTCCTCTTGTTTATGGCCAGTGCTTCAATAGGTCTATCTGCCCTTTTTTTTTAAAAAAAAAAAAAAATCAATAAACTCTGTAGGTTATGGATATCAACATTTTGTTATATATGTTACAAGTCTTTTTTCTTAATTGGTTTTTAGTTTTTTTTCCACTCCCAGTATAGAGAGATTCAGAATTTTTTTGTTAAATAATCTCTGTAACTGACTCATGAACGCTGGCAAAGATAGGTATTTTACCTGCTGTTTATGGGCTTCGAAGTAATCAACTGTATTCATTCTATTATTCAAATCTTACATAATCTTGTTTGTCTAGTTGCTCTTGCAAAGATAAAATGTGGTGATAAATCCTCCCATTTCATTGCATTTCTAAATTTACTATGTATATTTAGACACAATGTTGTTTGATACATAAGGGTTACGGGATAAAAATCTTCATGATGAACTGTATCATGTGTATCCTTCATGAACATGAAACTATCTTCTAATACAGCTCTCCTCTGGACTAGCAAAGTCAGCACTCCTGGGAACCTCAGAAATGCTAATTCTCCTGACTTGCCCCCGAGACCCACTGAAAGAAAATTCTAGGTGTGGAGCCAACTGATGTGTGTTGGAACAAGAACATTCCAATGCATGGGGAAGTTGAAGAATTGCTGCTCTAACATGTGAACTGTTTTATTAGCCTGGCGTTAATGTCAGCTTCTTGGTAATTTGTTGGTTTCTGCTACCTGTTTGTCTGCATGCACCTACAGACCTGGTCCTTGCACTTTGACTGACTGGACTGTGCTAAGTGCCGACACAAAATCCTAAGCCAAAACAGGCAYGATTCCTGTCTTCCAGGAGTTTTGGTCAGGAACCTGAGACGGAAAAACCAAGTAGCCACACAAACAAATTTAAAACTGAACATGACAGTTGCTCTGAGAGAAACCTACACAGTGCTGCGAAAACCCAAGAGGGGGTTTAAATCTCTTTAAGGATGCAGAAAATGGCACCTCGGAAAGAGCATGGCTCAGGGTAAAAGATAAGGAATCAACCACGTATGTCTCTAATAAACGGTTAGTAATTGGATTATTTTAGATTAACTTGACAATTTTTGGCTTCTAAAAAAGGAGATGATGCCATTTGCTTTTACTGCTCTCATTGATTTGGTTTTACAAACTGAGCGTCCCTAGTCCAGAAATCCGAAATGCTCCAAGATCTGAAACTTGAGTGCTGACCAGATGCCACAAATAGAAAATTCCACGTCACAAAACTTTGGTCGTGCACCAAATTATTTAAAATATTTTTATAAGATCATCTTCAGCCTATATGCGTAAGGTGGTTAGGAAACAAAAAAATGACTGATGTTTAGGTGTGGGCTCCATCCCAAGGTATCTCATTAAGTAGATGCAGATCTTGCAAAGTCAGGGGAAAAAATATCCCAAATCCAAAACACTTCTGGTCCCACGCATTGCAATAATGACCMTTATCATCTTTTCTTCTTTTCATGCCCTTTCTGGTTTGTTCCATTGGTTTCCAGGTATTTGGTGTGTGAACTCTTTGCTTTTCTCTGATATACTTTTTAAGATATATTTCTCTAATAGTCAATTGGCAGGTGGAAAGTTAGATTTTTAAGTCTGTCATCACACAGAAATACAGTTTAACTCGGGGGCTTCTCAACTTGGGCTCACTTACACATCACCTGGAAAGACTCTTACACAGGTCACTGGGCTCCACTGAGATTCGGATCTCAGGAATCCGTGTTAGGACCTAAGAATTCATCTTAAAGCAAGCTTCCAGTGTGGTATTCCTCGCTGAGCAGGAAAGGTTCAGCCTACTTTACTGCATCCCTGCTCTTTTCTCACCAGTTCCAAAATTGAGCCCTTACTGGTGCTCTATGGCTTAGCTCCCTGGAACAGAGTTTCGAATAATTTTTTTGAAGATGGGCACATAGGAGAAATGATATGTTTCTGAGCCCTTGCTTTTTTATGTACTAATCAKAATTGGTAAAAAATTCTCAGATCAATCCTCTCCCCCTTTAAAAACACATCTCTTTCAGCACTTCATGCTGCACGGGTCTGAGGCAAGTGTACCTTGCCTTCGTATGTAGGTGACTGGCTTCCCCACGCCTGGATGCCGGCGGAGCATTTCCCTTTATAGCTGTTTTAAAAARTCACCAGGATCTATTTAGGTAAAGGGCTCTACGTGGACTCCACGTGACCCATGAAGAGCAATTGGTAAATCTGCACATCCAGGTCTTCCTGCGCCTGAGCGGCGTTTTCTTTTATTAGATCTCGGAGTGCCGCCTCCGTCCCAGTGGTGTCCCTCCACCAGCTACCTGGAAGGTCCCCTGCTGTCTGTATTCATCACGTGTTCCTTGTTACCCTCAGAATTTAACTATGTCCCTCTCCAGTCCCATTTCTTCAGGCTGATTCTGCCCTGGACACCCTGGCGAGTTGACACCCACCCAACATCCTCCTCAACAGTGGGGGTTTGCACTCTGATCTGACCGTCCTGCTGCGCCAGGACCCTCCTCCTCTCACTCCTTCCTCTTGCCCTTTTTACCTTGCCCTTTTGCTTCTCTACCCTACAACYTGAGGCTCCTTTTTTTTCCTGCTACGGGCAGAACTGTGTCCCTCCTGTTGGGGTCAGATGAGGTTTTGAGGTGGGGAAGAAACTCCAGATGTCCATCGGGACCTCTGGTCCTGCTTCTCTGCCCTGTGACGACACAGGGAAAAGCAGGCCATCTGCAACCCRGGAGGAGAGGGAGCCTGGTCATGCTGGCACCCTGACCTTGGACTTCYAGCCTCCAGAACCGTGAGAAATGAACTTCTGTGAAGCCACCAGGTCTAGGTCTGGTCTTCTGTTATGGCAGCCCAAGTGGCTAAGATAGGTCACACTTCCTTATACTTGATTTAAGACACCAAAATTTTTTCATTTAGGTTTTGTGGAAGATCACTTTGAGAGAGACACTCCTCCTTGGAGTCTCCTAAATTCTTTCTCTAGTGATGTGGGGTCCTACGCTTGCTTGTTTGTTTTCCAAGTGACTCTTCTTTATCCAGGCATAAAGGTCACGTAAGCCAGAAACGAATCCCACTTTACTGTTTTCATAGGCAACATGAACACACTGTCCAATCCTTCCTCTTCCCGTGATCACAGTGGTGACTCTCGGGTCTGCAGCTGAAGGGCGAGGTGACACCCACCCAACACCCTCCTAATTAAGCATGCGACTGTCTCACTGCTCAGCCGGTGCCACAGGGAAGGCATGCTTGCTGCCAGGGTTGCCCCTCTCCCCTGGACCTACAGAGCTTCACCTGGGGTAGTCAGTGTCTTCAGAATGCCCCATGCCTCCACTGGAGCCCGTGTCCTCTGCTTAGCTGTTTCTAGGTCCTGTGGCACTGGCCTGCTGGCAAGGAGCTGCAGAAGCTCTAGAAACAACACTCCTCTCCCAAGGTGGGTTCTAGTGGCAGCAGGCGACGGCCTCACACAGCTGTCTCGCTCCATCACACAGAGCTGGCAGCTGGACCCAGTCTGATCGACCTGATGCAACTCCACACTCCTAATAACCTGGGGTAATTCTTCCCAGGTCCTAGCACGGGTTGTCTATCAGATACTTCCAGAAACACAGAAGGAGTTTCATCTTGCTTTGCATCTTCCTGGGGTTAACAGGTCCCGCTGATCTAATGCTTCCTGAGAAGGTGTCAAGGACTGCGCTAATTCCCTTACTCATATCGTCCCACCTAATCCCAGGACAATCCTGGAAGGAGAGTCTTATTGTTATCACTCCATGTCAGCTTAAAGAGACTGAAGGTCACACAGATTAGAAAACTCGCCGGACATCACTCAGCTGGCAAATGGAGAGCATCTCTCAGTAACATGCCTCGTTTGTCACCCCCAGCCAAAGCCAGGTGTGGGGCTGGACATTCTGTGTATACAACAGTCCTGGAGAACAGGTCAAACAAATTTCTTGTCCCCAATTTACAGGCGAGTCAAGGGACTCTCAGAGGGGTAGGCACCCAAGGAAGGTGACACCAGCATCCATACCCAGGCCTGAGTCAAAGCCTGTCTTCAAAATAATGATGCCACAGCTGGAAGGGTGGGGCTTTGGGGACATAGTGGACAGTCGGGAGAGCACGGAACACTGCCTCTGTCCTCATTCTGACATGGACGTCCGACCTACCCACTGACTATGCTGGGAACCTGTATGGTTCAGATCTGTGTTCCCTCTGGGATGTCTGACTTCCAGCCGCCCCGTCCACAAGGGTTCACTATGCATGTGGCGGGCACTGTGCCATCCACTCTGCAGACATTACCTCCTCTGCAGTTTCCTAAATGCTTTAAGAAGAAAACCAAGAACCATCCTCTGACCAGGAAGAACAAGCCTCTGGGGGACCCAGCCTTCGCTGGGCTATACCGGGCTCCCTCCGGGGGGCAAGCTGATGTCGGTGTTATGGCTCCTTTGATTTCCACCCACCTGGATTCCATCACCCCCTTGTTCTTTGTTTTTGCAAATGCTCTTGGACACACCTCCCCAGGCTGGCCACCAGTCCCCTCGCGATCCCTCCTCCTCCTAGAAGCCACACTGGTCTTCCTGAAATGCAAACCTGGTCATTTGCCTCCCCACTTCCTTTGCCTCCCCACTTGGCAAAGGCTCTGCTCACTCCTGTGAGGAGGAACTCAGGGTGCCACCCTCTGCACCCAGAGCCCTGAGACCTGAGCTCCTCACCAACTCTCCTTTCCTTTCTCAGAACCAGCGCCCCCTCCTGCCTTTGCAATGTGATGTGAGAGCTCATTCCCCACCCTGTCCCCAACCTGGATTCCCAAGGCTGGACTCCCCGGGCTCCCCAGCTCCCCAAGCTCCTCTCTGGCTGGGATTCTCTGCTTGGTTAACTACTGCCCCTACCCCGACCCCCGTGTGAGTTACACATCTGTCCTGCTCACTGCTGTGTCCCCACAATGCTCAAGTCTAAGTTTGCTGGAAACAGGTCACACGGGTGACTCCTGCCCTCAAGGGGGTTTATGGGAGCGGGACGGAGTGTCTGCAGGCAGCCGCCCGCACAGCCTCATCCACAGCTAAGCCCCTTCAAGTGACTAAGCTACCGTCTGAGCACCAACTATGTACCAGGCACTGTGTTGACAAGCAGCTTCTGTCCGTGATCTCATTTAATCCCCCAACAAGCCTGCAGGAGTGTCGTCCTCACCCACAGGAGGGGAGGCCGAGGTGCAGGATGGCTCAGACTGCGAGGACAACCGAGAGGTGGGCGGGAGAGCCCTGGCTCAGCCCGGGGCCTGGCCACCTGCACTGCCCTGACCTTGACCCTTTGCTGTCCCCAGCTCATGGAGAACTAATGTCCTGGGACTGTCCAGCCCAAGTGGTGACAGGTGGGCACTGTGGCTGCAGGGTGAGATGCCACTGCTCCAGTGACGGGCTGCAGCCCTGCCTCCCTCAGCCAGCCCCGCCCAGCCCCGGCCCCAGAGTCCCGCATACTTGGCCCAATTTTCTGGAATGGCTCTGGGGGCTCCTCCTTCACTTCATCAGTGGCCACAACACCTTGGTCGAAGGGGTCTGTGGGAGAACACACGGTCCTTAGCACCCTCRTCGTCCAGGTCTCGGGAGCCCAGAAGGGGACAGGGAAGGCAGGCAGCCACCAACGACTTACCTGCCCGATTCTCGGGGGCCCCTTCCACACTGAACACTGTGCCAGGGCAGGAGGCAGCAGCCACAGAGGGAAGGAAGCAGACGAGAGCCCTGTTAGTCCCTGCCTGTCACTGCCTCTGTTCACTGTCTCTTGCCCCCAGCCTCAATTCAGGGGTTGCCCTTGGGGCCAGGAGTGCTTCCTGAGCCAGTGTGGAAGGCCAGAGAGCACTCAGTGCCACCCGCCTCCACTCCAGGCCAGATCTGGAACGCTTCTGGATCCACAGGGCTGGGGTTGGGGTGATAGGGGTCCTCTGTCCCCTCCATGGGGAGGGCATATCCCCAGGACAGCCTGCGCCTCCAGCTCCCTCCTTACCCCAGCAGGTGCCCACCCCCTGGGGCCTGCAGATGCTTTCTGCCTGGACCTATTTCTGGGTCATCTATGTGCACTCAAGGGCCAGAGTAGGAGCAAAGGGGAAGAGACATGGAGGGGAAGAGACATGGAGGGGAAGAGACATGGAGGGGAAGAGAAGCCAAGCCACGCCTCAGACAGGCCGCAGGCGGGACCGGAGTGGGAGGCCCCAGGTGCTCTGCAGGTCCACCACCGGTTCTCCAGGATTCTTAAGACCCTACAAATTAACTACCTAAATTTATTGTTCTAATTTCAAGCTCCATAATCTAAGATGCTAAAATGTCATCATTCATTTTTAAAAATTGGTTTAATTTCAGTAGAGCATGCAAATGCTCAATATAAAACAGAAAAATGACACGATATGAAATTTCAATATTCGACTGATTTTTGACCTGTMAAGATGGCGATTTCACTTGGCTTCACCTAACAGGAGCATATGCAGACAATGATGGGGACACTCCCTCCCCCAGGATCCTCCACGGTGGCTCACCCCCCTCGTGGTTCTGACTGCTGCCTGACCTCCCTTTGGGTGAGAGGAGGCTGTGGGCAGGGGCGGGGCTCACCGTCCACGGCGTGCAGGTCCCGGTGCTCCTGGAAGCAGCTGTAGTACTTGTACTTCTTCCCGCAGATGTCACACGTGTACCTGAAGTTGTCTGTGAGGGCAGGAAAGACGTGTTGGCCAGGGCTTCAGTCACCTGGGTTGGGGTCTCTGGCCAGTGCATCTGCCTCTGGAACCAAAGCTGGACGGCAGTTTGGACAATCCACTCCAGAGCCACCTGGGCCTTGGCACTGCAGCCTCTTCTGAACCTGGGAGGGCCATGGCCCAGCCTGGACATCGCTCAACAGAGCCCCTCCCATGTGCACATCAGGGCCACTCCGTGCCCCACTCCCCAGGCCAGACTTTCTGGATCCACCGGGCTGGGGTTGGGGTGTTGGGGGTCTTCTGTGGAGGTGACCAGGGAGCCTGGAAACGACTCCCAGAGCCACCCCCTGTAGGCTCCTAACAGGTTTCACCTCCCGACACAGAAATTATGTGAATATAACAATCACTGCAGCTTCCACATGAATGGGGTGAGCACGTGCAAGGAGCCAGCCTTTCCCTGTGCCTCCTCGGTTAGTCTTTGCAACAGAGGAAGAAAGCAGTCTCCCGTTTGTGCTGGAGGAAACTGAGGACCAGAGGAGACTGACCCAAGGTCCACAGCTAGGAGTATAGGTGGCTTCAGAGCTGGGGCCCAGTGACCCTCACTGGCTGGTGTCCTGCCTCGTCCCCTGGTTAAGGACTCAGCTGCAGACCATCCCTGACAGAGTTCCTGCTACAAGGGCAGGGCTGAGTGTCTGTGTGGAGACGCTGAGCCTCTGCGGCCTGAGCTGCTCAGCACCTGGCCCTCTCCAGAAAGTCATCCTGACCCCTGCTACAGGAAAGTGCATGGATCGTAAGCAAACATGGTCACTCCTGTGTGACCAGCCTCTGGCTCAGAGGCTGAGGACCACCACCTCAGCCTCTTCTCTGCCCGGCCTCTCCTACTCCATGCTACTGCATGGCAGCAGGGGAACATGCTGGCTGATCACCAGCCAGCCCCGGGCATCTGGGTGGCCTCCGGTTGGGAGCTGTTAGTGCACCAAGAATATGTGACTTTACATCTTTGATGAACATGYGCAGACATTTCTTTTTCTTTCTCTTTCAGTTGTCGATAGACCTTTATTCCATTCACTTATTGATATGTGGTGCTGGGAATCACACCCAGTGCCTCACATGTGCCAGGTAAGTGCTCTATCGCTGAGCCCCAGCCCAGCCCAGACACTACCTTTGGATATTCACTTAAGGGAGGAACTGCAGGCTCTGGAAGCTCAGTGAGGGGTGAACACCCCAGTCTACACCCAGCTGGTTGGCTGCTTACCAGGCCCTCAGGGTGTGGGGCAGGCAGAAGCCCAAGTGGGCCTGGGCCTGCGTAGCAAAGCAAATGTCAAGGCCCCCTGTGGCCCTAGGTGCTGGGATATGGCACCTTGGGGCAAAGACCAATAAGCAATTATGACCACGGCTGCTGTGCTCACGAGAAACCCCAGAACAGCATTTCTCCAAGGTCAGCTCAACACCCCAGACACATAAGTCAGTGCCCAGAGAACCTGGGACTCCCAGGTGGCCTGGGCTGCTTCTGTCCGGGCACCTTGTCCACGTGCTTGCTCATCCAATTACAGCTCAAGGATTCCCAAAGTTATTTGGCCAGAGAACCCCTCAAGGACAGAACACCTGTTAACCTCCCCAGAACGGGGATGCCAGGACCCCTCTGGCTTCTGTGGGGCACCAAGTTCTGTCTCCATATAAGGCCCCTCTGGCTCCAGAGGCCGGACCCCTGCTATGTGTCTCAGAAGCAAATTTGGGGGCGCCCTGAGGGATGAACTGAACAGTCCCCTCTTCCTCCCACAGCCCAGCTTCACCCCAGCCAACCACGAGGAGCRGGGTACTCACTGCTTTGGGAGGCTCCCTCCCCTGAGGTGGCTTCGGTGTCTGTGGGAGAGAGCGAGAGTGGGAAGGAGGTGAGCTGGACGAAGGCCACGGGTACAGTGAGGGGAGGTGGAGCAGCTGGCAGAGAGGGGCCCTGGAGCACCGGGGTCCGTGCTGCGGCCTTCTGTGACCCCGACACCAACCAGCCCTGAGTCTGCAGCTTGCTCCCTGCTGCCAGGCTCGGGGCGGGCAGGTGCCACCCTCCTGGCCCTCAGCTTCAGAATGGGCAGCAGCCACTGGCCCACTCCTCGCTGTCACCAGGAACACACAGAAGGACAAGAGCACCTGCCCTGCAGGGTGGCCCAGAGCACACAGAGCTGAGTGTCCCGGGAGGCACGAAGCCCAGGTGGAGGGGCAGGGAGCCCTGGAGGCAGAGGCTGGGCGGCCTGCCCTGCGGTGCCCCTCGGCTCATGTGTACCCCACACTAAGGAGGCCTCGCTCAGCGCCTTGGCCCTCCCCCATGGCAGAAAGAAAAGCGAGAGCTGGAAAAGCTGGGAGCTCTCTGGGGACACCCATGGAGCCCAAGTGGGAAAATGGGCAGAGAACAGAAGGGGTGGCCTGGGACCCGCTCACCTCGGTGCGCCCGCACGTGGGTCTGGAAGCAGTTGTAATACTTGTACTTCTTGCCACAGATCCCACACTCGTAGGACCCTGGAAAACAGAAGAGGAGAGAGGGGACCCGTCAGCTGCCCTGCAATCCACCCATGGGTGATGCCACCAGGCACTGCTAACTGTGTCTCAGGGCAGGGAAGTTTCCTAGCAAGCAAAGAGGGGCATGGACCAGCAGAGATGGCACCGGGTCCTTGCCCGGGTTTGTCTCCAACTTTGTGCGTGACCTTGGGCAAGGTGCCACCATTTCTGGGCCTCAGCTTCCCAATCGGAAAGACAGAGAGGAGGTGTCCTGGGCTCCCTCTGCAGACACCTGGGGAGGAARGTGCAGGGGAATGCGGGGTGCTCTGAGGGGAGTAACTGCACCTCCAGGAAATCCTTCCCCAAATGYGTCTGGTCATTTCCAGTACCCCTTTTCCAGGATGGGAGAGAGGTTAAGAGGACAGACTTCAAAATTAGGAGGTGCCTCAGTCCTTGTCCCTCCTCTGCCTTTTGCCAGCAGCAGCATCTTGTTTTGGGGGGTACGGGGGACTGAACTCAGGGGCACTCAGCCACTGAGCCACATCCTTAGCCCTATTTGTATTTTATTTAGAGACAGGGTCTCACTGAGTTGCTTAGTGCTTCGCTGTTGCTGAGGCTGGCTTTGAACTCGTGATCCTCCTGCCTCAGCCTCCTGAGCTGCAGGATTACAGGCATGCGCCACGGCACCTGGCTAACAGCAGCATCTCAATCCCTCAGGTACATCAAGCTCTTTCTGTTCATTGCAGACCTCCGGGGGCTCTGCACTGCCCCAGGGCAGACCTTGGGCCCTGCCACAGATCTGCTTGGCAAGGAGAACACCCCACACCTGCAGAGGAATGACAGTGCACCCTCAAACACAGAGACCAACATGGTGCAAACACCTGACTCCAGTCCCCAGTGGGCCTTCCTCCCAGGAGCAGATGGACTGAAACAGCTGAACTCCCCAGAGAGCGCTTCAGATGGGTGAAGCTTCAGATAGATGGCATGGGGTTTAGGTCCATGGCAGGAAGCCAGGCAGAGCCCATGGGACACAGCCTGGCAGGGCCCCTAGGAGCAGAGACTCTGACCCTCCCCTCCCCACCCACCAGGCCCTCGCAGAGGCTGGATGCCGCCTGCGCCCAGGCCCTGCTCTTCCCAACACAACAGCCAGGGAGCACCTCCGGGCACAGAGACCCTGGGCCAGTCTCAGTGCTCTAGAAAGGCTGGGGCAGGACTAGGAATCTGCCTTTTCCAAAAAGGTCCCAGGGGATTCTGGTGCCCCGTAGCCAGGTATGGGGACACTGGCTTTAGGCAAGGCCTGGGAAGGAGCTCAGCCTCATAATTCCAGCTGTGCCTCAGTTTCCTCGCTGGAAAACCAGGGAGTGCAAGAGGTCAAGGTCAAGACTGAATCAGCGTGAACTGTGCTCTCATCCCAACCCCGGACATCTGCCGAGGCACCAACCACCACTCTTTGCCGTGCCTGGAAGCTAAGGCTCTGTCCCTGGGTGTGGGCTCCAGGAGTCAGAGTCAGCAGGAGAACGCTGGGTGGGCAGTGTGACTGCTGGCTTGGCACTGGCAGCCCTCGGCTGCCTGACCCCACACACATCCCTTCACCTGCCCGAGCCTTGGATTTCCTACCTGTAAAAGGACTACGCTCTCCACTCCTAGTCTCCACTCCCCGTAAGTGAGGTCAGTCCCGTGAGCCAGCGCACAGAGGTGGAGGTGACGAAGAGTGGCCGGCGCCAGTGCTACTACTGTGGATCCTCCAGGGCGACTGTCATCCTAAGGCCCATGTGGGACCCTGCAGTCTGTCATTTAAAGGTCTGCATTTGTATTCCCTGTCACATGGGAAAACAGACCAACACGTGGAGGGCCAAGTTCACACTGCGCGGCTCTCTGTATTTAGCCCTGTGATTGGCACACAGTGAGGGTGCCATAAATTCTTGGTGTCTTGCTGCTGTACTCATCTGTCACCAAGTGACAATGACCCTGACCCTCTTCTGGCCGCCACTACCCCTCTTCAACAGTTTCTGCCAATTCCCCTTCAACTGAGCAAGGATTTATTGAKCATGTGCAATAGGCCAGGCACTGAGGCCCCACCAGAGAGCAAGATGTGATCTCTGCCCTCCCTCTAATGGGGAGCAGACAGGTCACCAGGCCCRGGGACAAATGGGGCCTGCTGTGTACCAGGCACAGTGCTAAAGCCCCGCCTGCCATGGACTTCAGAGAGGACTTCCTGAGGTGTGGTCATCCCTGCCTTGACTGGTTCATGGTGAGTTGGGGCCTGGGGGCATGGAGGTAGAACCCAGCCCAGCTGCAGTGAGGGGCGGAGTCCATGGGGTCAATACAAGTCACACCCCCTGGCTTCAGAGGATTCTCCCCCTTCCCCTGGAGAGAGCCCCAGGCACAGGCAGCCTTGCTCCAAGGCCTGGCCCCACCCAGGGAGTCCAGGCTGCTCCTGGGCCTTGGCCTGTGGGCATGGAGCTTTGTGCTCTAGCAGGATGGGCCTGCCCTCGGGTTCCCATCTGTGGAGGGTGCCAGGTGGACAGAGGTGGGGTGAGACGGGGAAGAGCTCACTAGAGCCGCTGCCCCATGTGCGGCGCTATGAGCCAATCTGGGTTCAAACATCAGGTYGCTGTGTAGGAGTCAGGGGAGCCTGGGGCAGGCCTTGGGATGAGCCACACTTCAGGATTCCTCTCTGCAACATTGTGCCCACAGAACAGGGGGACCGTAACACTGTGGTCCTTATCGCAGAGCACGGTACAGAGCAGGCATTTGATAAAGGACAGCTGCTGTTATCATCGGCATTTACAGTTTTTTCTTTGGCGTTCAACTTCCTGAATGCTTCCCAAGAAGCAGGATCGTGGCCAAGGGACTGTGAGGAAAGACCTCCCAGTGTGGCCGGTCCCCGGGTCGGACTGAAAAGTCCTGTAGTGAAGGACGCCACTGCTGCTTAACCCAGGGTCTCCCAGACACCTGTGGCCATGGGGCCCTCTTGTCCCTGCCTTGTTTCACAGGATTGTGACTCAAAGGAAGTGCTGAGGGAGGGGTCCCAGCTTCACAGAACCCAGATTTCCAAACGCTCCACCCTCCCTCTGCCAGCCACTGTTTCTGGAGCCCCAGAGCAGACAGGTGCTCTCGAGGTGGCGCTCACAAGGTGACAGGGTGTTGTGGATGGTCCCTGTGCCTGAGCCACTGCAGGCCTGCTTCAACAGGGACTGCAGCTGGGGGCTACTCAGTCACCGCCACCTCATGCTGACCTGGATCAGGCCCTGTCCCTCGTCCATCACGTACCCGGTGTACATCTCAACGCTTGGTCAAAAATCCAGGTCCCTGAATACCGGCCTCGCACAGATCCGCAGCGGGGGCTGGCTTCGGGCGCTTTTCCATCTGAATTGCATAAGAAATCAGAAAGAGCCCTCAATGCGGGAGAATGCCAGGGAGTTGGGGAGGGGCGGGTCAGTGGGGGGGCACAGGGCCTGATCCTGATGGCCTGTCCCCTGCACCATCAGGGCTTCAGAATCCTCAGCTGCATGTCGGGATGAGGGGCCACCTYCTCACTCATGAACTCCTACTGCCAGGCAGCCCCCGTGGGGTCCCCTCGCGCCCCTGCAGAGTTCTGTTTCTGTTCTTCACACCTGAATAACTCAAGCTTCCTTCAAGATACAAAGAACTCACTACCAAGGAGGCCAGAAACAGCAGGAAGCAGCAGCCCAAGATAAAACCCCCTCAAGTTTTGTGTGTGTGGTAGACAACAGGCACTCAATAAATGATAGCTTCTGTTACCATCAGCCTTTCCAACTTTTGGGGKGTGTGTGTGGTGGGGGGGGGGACTCAACTTCCTGAATGCCTCCCAGGAAAATAAGGAGCATGTTTTTCTCTATATCCTGGTGCATCACACGATCATAACTCAAGTTTCTGCCCCCAAACCTTCCAGTAAGATGACCTTCCATGGAGATGTGCCCCAGGGGCACTGTGCCTGTGTCCCCTGGCCACTATCACCCCCAGGCTAGTGCAGGGAGCACCACRGGAGCTTCTCTTTGCTCTCTGCTCAGTCCCCTGCCCTGCTGATGCCCTGCTGTGCGTCCTCCTGGTCCTCTGGTCCCCAGCTGCTCCTGTCCCTTCCTGAACCTCAGTAGTCACCGTCACCACCCACCTGCTCAGTGCCAGGCTCTGCAGTTACGTGCGGCAATCGCCCAATGCACAGGGCAGCAGGTGGCCATGGGGTCCCATCCCAGGGCTGCCCTCCAGCTCAGGTCATCCTCATGAGCCCAGCAGGTAAGTGATCACCATCCCCATTTTTCAGTGGAGAGAATTGAGGATCAAAGGGGCGACCAGCCAGAGGTTGCTGGACCTGCCACGCCACCAGCTTCTCTGGGACAGCGCCTTGTGCTTGTGAGCAGTGGCCACTGATAGCCCTGCGGGCCTCGCCTCCCTTCTCCTGTTCCCAAGCCTGCTATCCCACAGGTGAGCACACGGTCCTAGAGGTTCATCAGCCAATGGCGGGAGAGAAAATGGGCTCAGGGCCAGCCTTCAKGCTCCAGAGCCCTGGGTGCCAGGTCACTTCCTGGATGCCGAGCGAGCCGTGTTCCCGCCAGTCGCGGAGCTCCCTGCGGCTCTGCAGGGCAGCAGAGCCCCCGTCGTGTCTGGTGCAGCCACAGGGCTCCCCAGAGCACCCCACTCAGTGTCCTGGCTCAGCTCCAGGATGGCAGGCAGGACTCACCAGCACAGGAGCCCAACCTTGTGCCCTTCCGTCTGTCTTGCGCTGCAAGGAGTCCCCAGTCCCCAGCCTACAAGACGAGGAGTCCTTGTCAAMGCTCCCACCTGCACCTGCTGGAGCACCTGGCAGAGGCCTAGAGCACCCGAGGCAGCCTGGCGAGGTGTGTGGGGAGATGTGGGCGGGGCCTACAGAGGAGGCGGGCTCCCGAGGACAGGGAACGCGGGTGGCAACACTCAGCTACCATCCAGGGCACACAGTTAACTCTAGGGAAACTGGACACCTTTCAGAAGAAAGAAAATACGCAGGACAGAAACCAAGGCTG